CTGGAAGCAATTGCCTCTCTTCTACACTTGGAGGTCTAGGAGGGAATTGCTTTTGCAATTGACATGCTCTGTCCAGTGGAAGGGGAAGGCATATTTGTCATTTTATGTTACTATAATGAAATACTTGAGATTGGGTACTTTACAAATAAAAGTCACTTTAGCCCACAGTTCTAGAAGTTCACAGCATGGTAGAGCATTGTCTTGGCTCTGACAAAGGCCTCAGGGCAGAGGGCATTATACTGATTAGATCATATGTAAGAGGAAGAGGTCACAACATGAGACAGGAAGCTGCAGAGAATCATGCTTCCAATGTGTAAACTTGGGTACACACTCAACCACATCCAAATAATAGCAGAAGGGCAGTTGACATCAACTGACACATCTAATTCTACTGACTCCAAATTCTACTGAGCTTGAGATCAAGCCCAGAGTCTCAGTGTGGCTTTGAAGGCTTACCAGGACCTGATTCCTATCCATCTTTCCAGGGTAGTTCCTGAGCTCATTCCTTCTGGAATGCCTTCTCAGTTCTTTAAAGAGATACCTTCTCCCTAGGTGTGAATCCCATTACCAGGTGCCATAGCTCTAGCCTTCTTACCATCAGGATTTTCTCCCCAGGTTTGTTTTATTTTGTCTTATTCATAATGTGTGTGTGTGTGTGTGTGTGTGTGTGTGTGTGTGTTCTGTTTTGGGTGAGGATATATGAGCCATGAGAGAGTTTTATCTTTCCTAGCAATAGCCCTCTTTAAATATAAAGAGTTTCCATATATCCCTCATTCCCACATAGGCAATACTTTCTCACTATCAACTTCTTGCAACAAATGGTACATGCTACATTCTAGAATACTATATTAACATGTTATTGTCACCCAAAGCCCATTGTTTATATTATAGTTTATTCTTGGTGTTATATACCCTTTGAGTTTGCACAAATGTATACTGTCCTAGTTCACCATTACAATATTATACAAAATAATTTCACTGTCCTAAAGATCCTCTGTGCTCTGCCTATTCATGCCCCCACACCCTCAGAACTCCTGGCACTTTTACTGTCGCTTTGGTTTTAACTTTCCCAGGATGATTGTTTTTCCAAGATGAAGAATTGTAAATAAATCTGAATAAACATCTATGTTTATTCACGTAACACTTTATTTATATAAAGTTTTCATCTTTCTTGGATAAATACAAAGGACACAATTGCCAGACCACATGAGAACAATACTTGAGTTTTATAAAAAAAACTGCCAAATTGTCTTTTAAAGGACTATACCACTGTCTTGCTCTGGGCCAGCTATGCTGGGATGTGGTTAACTCCTTAGGCAAATAAATATCCTAATTCCTGGTGCCCACGGATCTTGAGATATACTATTATGGAATGTAGGTGAGGTGGAAGTTCTATTCTAGGGAAGCACAAGGCAAATTCCTCTGCTTCATGCTCCTTAACCAAATGTGGGTTATTAGACTGAGTGTCTGCACTGAGGCAACTTAGATTGCATTCCACTCACCTAACACTATGAGGGCTGCTGAAAGCCAGAGAATTCCCACTGTGTTTGTGTATATGAGAAGTGGAGAGGCTGGCTGGTCCTTCCTCCTATAAGAGCCCGGAGAGAAATGAATTTCAGTAGATGGGGTAGAGAGAGAAGATGGGAGAGGTGGGGAGGGAAGACAGGATAGTAGAGGATAGGAAAGGCAGCAGAATACAACAGACACTAGTATGGCAGTATGTAAAAACGTGGATGTATAACCGATGTGATTTTGCAATCTGTATAGGGGAAAAAATGGGAGTTCATAACCCACTTGAATCAAAT